CCTAGGAATAATCCCACACATATGATCAGTTAATATTTGACAAGGGTGCCAAGAACATATGAAAGAGAATAATCTATGCAGTGAGTGATACTGGCAAAATGGCTAAACACACACAAAGGAGTGTGTCCTATGGCACTCAAAACTCTTAAAACTCAAAAGCAAAAAATTTGGTAGGTTGAAGATTGAACTGTGAGACCTGAAACTTTATCAACTTCTGTAATAAACACAGGGAGAAACTCTTTCACATTGGTCTTCACAATGACTTTATGATCTCTCTCTCTCTCTCTCTCTCTCTCTCTCTCTCTCTCTCTCTCACACACACACACACACACACACACACACACACACACACACACACCACAGATAATTAATGCAAAATATAAACCAAAGGACAATGTCAAAATAAAAGACATCTGTGCAGCAAACTGAATTTGCAAAAATAAATAACACCAGGAAGAAGGGAGTGTTAGCAACCTGCCTGCTAACTTTTAATCCAGATCTTTCGGGGTGAAAAGATCTACCTTTAATCTGGGTCACACCTTCTACTAGCAGTGGATATAAAGGGCACAGAAGAAGGAAGCTTTTGACCTTTGCCTGTTTGCTCTCTAGTTTGCTAGTAAGTCCATTCCTTCATCAGCATTAGAGCCTCCTTCTTCGGGATTTTGAAGTATATTGAAAACTGAGATATCCAACCTCATGGACTGAATTACTGGATTCTTGAACCTTCCATTGGTAGATAGTCATTTTTGTATTAGCTAGACCACAGCCTGTAAATGATTCTATTAAATCCTGTATATATATTTATATGTTTATATAATATAGCATATATACCTATATGCCTATATATTATATATGTTTATATTATAATATATTTCATATGCCTATAATTTATCTATATTTTAATATTCCCTATTATGTGCAAATTTATATATTATATTATATTATACCTATACATTACAATTTATAAAGATTTATTAGAATAATAAATTTTATTTATAAAAATATAATATATAGGATAGAGATAGAGGTACACACTCATTCTATAAGTTCTGTTCCTCTAGAGCACCCTAACCCAGTAGCCAAAGCCACAGAGGGCACTACCTCATGCCCCACAGAATGGACAGAATCAAAGGACAACCAAGAGCAAATATCAGCAAGGGTGTGAAGAGACGAGAGCTTCATGCTGTTGGTGAGATTGTAAGCTGGCAGAGCATTTTGGAAAACATAAAATTTCTTTCTAAAATGAAAAAGAAATTTCCATATGATCCAACGATCCCACTCATGATACACAGCCAGGGAAAAGAACCTGGAGTGCAAAGGACATCAATGGGCTTGTGCCTTCAAGGCAGCGCTAGCCACAGCAGCCAAGAAACAGCCTAAGAGGCATTGATGGATGAGTGTGCATACAATGGAATATTAGACAGGAATGAAAAAGAAGTAACTTCTCTATTAACAACACAGAAGAACTGAGAGAGCTTCAGACTAAGTGAAAAATTGGAGAAAGACAAATGTTATGTGAGCCCATGTGTGTACGTGGATCTAAGCTTCTAGAAATAGGAGAATGGTGGTTGCTGAGGACCTCGAGTGTCAAAATGGGGACATTCATGTCAAAGGTATAGGCATTCAGTACAAGATAAAATCCTGAGACCTTCACAGATAGCAGAGCGACAGGCTGAGGAAGGCAAGAAGCAAGTTCGCTTCAACACAGCTTAGTACCAGGTGTTGGTTCAAACTTCAGGAGGCTGGAGGTTTATTTTAGGCATATTTCAGCAGAGCACAATTTGATAAAAACTATTCTGCACATAATTAACTCAATCCCGAGTGCACAACAAAACATACATAAATCTCCCTGGGGAGTGAAGTAAGCTAAATATACATCAAACGTGATTGGACAAAAAAACTCTGTAAAATCCATGAAGACAGGTTCGATAGATTGACGGGGAGAGGGGTGGAATATGATAAGGGTCTGGGGGAATGCTGGAAAGTCTCCAGACACACAGATAATGTAAAGGTCACCAGGCTAGAAAGCAGTCCACTGCAGCTTCCTGGGTAGATAACAGGTACTGCATTCTCTTCCTTGAAGGAACGGCCATCGGTGCCTGGCATTCCAGGTCCCTCTAATGCTTGTGTGAGCACAAAGACCTCCGCCCTCACTTGAGGTCTAATACAATGGATTCGTAGTGTAGTTAGCAGCCCTGCATGACACGCTTGAACTTGTTACACTATTGGGAAACACAGCATTACACGCTTCAAACTTGCTAAGAGAATTGAGCTTGGCCGGCTACACAAAGTGTAGTCATGCTGCTGGATGCCTAAACATGATGGCTTTAGTCATACCCCAATCCACGAGGACATCAAATCATCATGGTATACACTTTAAATACAAGCAAGATTATCTGTCAATAATACCTCAACAAAGCTATAAAAGGTATGTCGCATTAGATGAACACAGTAGTATTGCTGACGTGGCTGGGTTTACAAACTGTTTCGGGTATTTCTTTCTTTCTGATTCTGTCCCTCCTTCTCCCTTTTCTTCTGCCCCATGGGTGATTTTGTTCCTGTCTCCTCTTTCTTGGTTTGTCATCTACAACTCTGACACACTGGCGTCATTTCTCACAGTCTCCTCCTCTTCCTGCCAGCATAAGGGACCTGCAAGAAGACGTTTCCATTCCCTGTCCCTTCATGTTGTGCTGCCAGCCCCACAGCTCTCCACGTGTGACAAGTTCATAAAGCATCATTGGTATTTCATAAACACACACACACCCCATGCACACACACACACATACACACATACCCCATACACACACACCCCATACACACACACACACCACACCACACACATACACACACACCACATAGACACACCACACACACACCACACACACACCACACACACACCACACACACCACACACACACACACACACATACACATACACACACACACACACACACACACACTTGCCTGTGTTCCAAGTGTTCTTCATTCCTTTTCATAGATCCAGAATTCTGTCTGGAGTAATTCCCTTTCCCTTGAAGCTTTTCTTTTAGCACATATGAAAAACAGAGTAAGATCTTGCAGCTTTTGCGCATCCGAAGAGGTCTTTATTTCAAATTCATGCAGTCCTGGCTGAGGGTCTTTCTTGTCCCAGGTCTCTAGCAGCTCCTCCTGCTGGACTGGGGTTGCCAGTGGAAGTCTGGAAGCTGGAAGCTGGCTGCTCTCTGGAACTTGATACACCTCATTCCTAGGCATTCTTTTAAGGTCTTCCTCTAAGGGGTTTTCCAGAGATGAGCCTCAGTATCATTTGCTTTGTACTTCATATAGTTGTGTTTGAGGTTTGTGGGGCTTCTTGGTTTCTGCTTTTTATCAATTTTGCACAATTTTAGCCATTATATTTTCTTAGTTCTTCACTCTCTTCTCTGTCTTCCTGACACCCTAACCACATATTGAATGAAGTTCCTCAGGTCATTAGTTTTGTCTTTCAGCCTTCTCTCTCTCCATGAGTTACGGTGTGTCATCTCTGTGGCTATGCCCCCAAACTTCTTGTCTTTGTTTGCAATGCCCAATCTGGTGTTACTCCCACATAGTTGCATTTGAAACATTGTTATTTTCGTCTCTAGAACTTCAATTTGAGTCACTTTGAATCTTCTGTTTCCCCGCCCCCTAGCATGCTCATGTCTTGGTGAGCATAATGGTACATTTAAATAGACATTTCTAGACTTCAGGGTATAGCTCAATCAGTAGGGAGCTTGCTTAACATGCACAAAGTCTTGTGTTCAAGCCCCAGAACCATCACATAGTACCAAGCATGATGGAACACACGTGTAATCCCAGGATTTGAGAGGTGGAGGCAGGAAGGAAAGAAATCTAAGGTTATCCTCTGTATAGCATCAGGGCCACCCTAGGCTACATGAGACTCCCTCTCCCAAACTTAAGTACATTCTTGTTCTGATCTACCATTCCTACCACTATGCCCCATCCTTTCCTGCACTGGCTGATCAGCACTGAGCTAAGAGGAGATTTTCAACCATCTGCAATAGTCTATAGAGACATTTCCTGTTGCCAGCTGGTTTTCCCTACATGACCCACTGTCACTCAACTTGGGGGAGCTCCCCTGTGTTATCCTAAATAGACGTACCTGCTGCAACCTGGGACAGTTATGGGGCTTATGTCTTTTATTTCTTCTCACCACCTCGTGCTGCCTGTTGTCCAAAGTCTCGATGCTGTGTTCTCTCAGGTTTCCTTTTCGTTGTGTTGGAGGGCAGAATCCCACTTTCTGTTATCCAGTCTCTGCCGAAAACAAATTTTGATTGACTTTTCCAGAAGAGAAGCTTTCTTGAAATACAATAGCTAGCCACTGCATGAATTAAAATAGGGAACTACAAAATTGGGTTTGAACTTTAGAATTGTTGCCCTGGACAGAGGTCAGAGAATTTTAGTATGGTCACCCTGGACAGAAATCAGAGAACTTTAGTATGCTCACCCTGGACAGAGGTCAGAAAAAGCTCCTAGAAAAACATGAAACATATTCCATGACAGAGATCCTGGTGAAATCCAAATACTAGCAAGAAGAGGCTTCTAGCAACCATCCTCCTTGGATGCCTATATGTACTCTGCAGCTCTCGAGGCCAAGGGTGGCCTTTCTAATGGGAAAGGCTAAGAACAAGGGCCATACATATGGACCCTCTGTCAACATGAATCATCACCTTGAGTCCCAAATGTGGCCCACTTAAAGTCTAACTTTTCTGTTCAGTTATATACCAGAGATGGGAATGGTTTTTCCCCAAATGAGTGGTCAGGAAAGGCTTCAGGAAAAGGTCCCTGGGTTCACATCATGGGCTCACCATGAATTAGATGGGATCTCTGATGCATGACATTTAGCCTGCTCACTAACCAAATGTATACGATATGGTTATGAAACTAGAGTGACTCTCCCCCACCCCAAGAAAGCCCTTGAACTGCTGTAATCTTTCATAGTGTTGCCGTTCTTTCCACTGTAGGTCCGTCTGGATCCAGAAGAACATCAGAGAGCACAGGAAAGTATATGTTGTTACTCTAAAATCCCTGATTTTCAGAGGACAGTGTGAAAGTGCCCCCTCCCTGGAACATAGCACCAACCTTACCATGCACAAGCAGACACGGCTAAGGCCACCCAATCCAGCCACCTTGTCAGGGACCAGGCATGGTCCAGAACACCAGATAAGGCGGGAAGTGTTCTAAGGCTACTTTGTATCCATCTGAGACCTTGGGGAAAGTCGAGTTACTCTCTATTCAATCCAATGGACCCAGGGGATATAGGGCTATCCTAAGAAGATTCCTGAATGTCATAAAACATTAAAGCTTACAGGGAAGTTTATGAGGAGAATCTTATGAGGAGAAAAGCATCAATCTGGCATGATGCTGGAAGCTGTTTTAGATTACAGAGAAAAGTCCACAATTCATAAACCTACACACACACACACACACACACATCTCATCAGGGTGACTGGTATCTACAAATCTGGAAATGTTAAAGATGCATAGTCATATTCATCTGTGGGGCTGATAGCTCACACGTGTGGGTGGGCATGGGTCCTGTTGGGCAGAGTTGTTCCCACATGTCTGCCACAGCTCAGAGAGGCAAAGCCAGCAGGGATTTGACTGAGTTCCCTCCACACAGTTCTGGGTGGACACTGGGCTGTGGGAATTCACTTGAGGCTCCACCCAGGTGTGGAGGGGTAGCAGTCTGAAGGTCCCGCAGGGGCAGGGCTTGAAGCCCTGAGAATGCCCCATGGGTTGGAGCATCTTGGTTAGGGTACTCAATTGGCTCAGCTCGGCTAGCTTGTTTGACTCAGTGGCCTCTACAGCGGAACGCAGAGAAGTCTTCCATGGGAGATTAGGCAGTGGCTCGGTAATCGAAGGCCTCCTCCACAGTTCTCCATAGACATGAGGAAGTCCATGGTTTTCATAAGGTTTATTGTCATGTCAGAAAGTGGATGAATGTGGATGCACCCCCCTCCTATTTGTCAGGGTAGGCCTGACTTAAATAGGGAGGGAGGAGGGTCTGGGCAAGAATGCTTAATTGGCTACACCCTCTGGCCTTCAGGTATCTCATTAATATGGAAATTTCTTGAGGCTGAGGCCTGTAGTCACGCCCTCTACCTGTGGATGGCCTGGTAGGGGCGTTGTCCTACATGACTATCAATGGAGCTCTTTGCCATGTGTCAGGAGCCTGGAGTCTGGGAGCGTGGCGAAATATATGCCGTCCCACGCAGGCATGGACTCCTGTTGGGTCTCTGGCCATCTCTAGCCAGTGCTCTACCAGAAACCAAGCTATCCTTTCAGGTTCCCACACACATCTCTGTCTATAGGAAATTCCACAAAAGAAAGCAATTCTATCAATTAGGAAATAGTGGATTTCAAAGTCAAGATTCAGATGCATCCTTAAAACCAAATGATTATATATATATATATATATATATATATATATATATATATATATATAAACAAAGGCTAAGGTTGAGATAAAACAAGGAAATGCAAATGAGATGAGGTAGCACAGGGTGGCAAGAGACATGGAAGAAGCAGAGATAGCTACTCTTAAATGTTAAAGATTCAGTAAGAACCTTATACAGCCACAACCAAGAATGTAACTCAATAGGGACCACAGAAGGAATATAGGAGAACCTTTTAAAACACATTCTGGGGCTAAAGGGACGGTTCAGTAGTTAAGAGCATCGTCTGTTCTTACAGAAGACTGGGGTTTAGTTTCCAACAGCCATGTGGTGGCTCAAAAATGTAACTTCTGTTCCAAAAGATCTGTCGCCACCCTCTGGCATCCTTGGGCACCAGGTGCACACACAGTGCATGTACATTCATACAAGCAAAACACTCATACACAAAAAATAAAAATAAATCTTTTTTGTAAAATATGACTACTTAGGAACTTTCAAATACTCCTCTTTCAAAATAAAAAGCTGTAGCAGAAAGTCAGAGGTTGCAGTCATGCAGTTAGAGACACTATACACTCACATCTAAAGAGCGTAAATCTTAAATTGTTCATCAACATCACCTATATACTTCACCAGAACAAAAAAAAAAGCTTTTATTTTGAAGCATAACTATTTTATTTTTAAATGTTTATTTTCATTTTATTCATTATTATACATATGCACACATATCCGAGTGTGGTTTTGTACACATGTGTACATGTGTCTTTGGAGGCTGGAGGGTATCAGATCCCTGGAGCTGGAGTCACAGGTGTTGTGAGCCACCAGACATGGGTGCTGGGACCTGCACTTGGGTGTTCTTCAAGAGTAATACAGAGTTTTAAACACCAAGACATCTCTTCAACTTCCTAAAACTTAAGGATTTTAGAGAGATCTACTTTGTCCTAAAATACTCAGGAGAAATGAAATTAAAAAAATACTCTTCAACCAAAAATAAATGACTAAGAAACACATAACAAAATTACTACATATCAAATGACTAATGCAAACAAGCCTTTTTTGTTTAAACCCTCTCGGCACAGAGAAACCGACACGAAAACAAAAAATAGAAGTAATGGTTCTTGCTTACATAAAACAAAGAAGACAAGCAATAACTTGGCTTTTTATACTGTAATTAAGTACAAACAGGCTCACTATGAAAAAGAGAGAGTAAATCATAGGTGAGATTAGAAAAAAAAAACAGAGAGGCCAAATACAATGCTTTCTAGAAAAGAAATCCATGTGCTCGGATACTAAGAATACTTGCACGCCTTAAGTCTTTTGTCTCTGCTGTTATAAAGAGTGCAGCCTGTATGAGAGCAGGTTGATACTGGCCTATGAAGAACAAATCACCCACTGTCCCTCTAGCTTTACAGATCATGTAAACCTGGACATCTTGGCATTAACTTAACAAACCATTATAACTCTACAGTAGCGTTATACCAAAAAGTAATACAACAAACTCACAGTTGTATAGATGCAAGAAATACTAAAAATACGTTAGCAAATATACCTAATCCGTGAAAATACATCAAACACTCCAGTGTCTGAAGTAATCACTAGCACTCCACGACTGAGTGGACTACATCTAGTGGGTGAGGGACCCTGAATACTCAGTACTCACAGCTAAGGGAGAAGCCACACAGTGGTTTCAATGGACGAAAGAAGTCATTCATAAAGCTAAGTGATCTTATTAACAAAAGTAAGAAAATAAACTGGCCAATCTCATTGGAAATGATGGGATGCTAAAGTCACTTTAATTAAAACCTAGACCAAAACGGAAGTGGTTTCAATCCGCCACCCTTACTGTTTTAGATGGTCAAATGCATTGTGCCAAGAATATGTAGTTTTTATAAATACTGGGAGGAAGATACTTTACTTTCTCCAAAATATTTGTAAAACTCAAGACATTCTAGTTGACAATGTATTTTTGAATGGATAGACTTTGCTCTGCACCTGTCACAGTAAGTAGACATGGAGTGAGTAGACAGACAGTGTGCCATTTGGTAGTTCTGTAAAACATGGAGAACAGTGGTTCTCAGCCTTCCTGATACTGCATGACCTTTTAACACTGTTCCTCATGCTGCAGTGACACACCCCCAACCATAACATCATTTTCATTGCACTTCATAACTGTAATTTTGCTGCGGTTATGAATCATAACGCAGGATATCTGATATGCAACCCCTATGAAAGCATGGTTCGACCCCTAAAGGGGTGAAACCACTGATGTCAAAGAATCTGACAAAAAAAAAAAGCAAAGGCATTTCAGCTTTGGCTTCATGTTTGGCTCGTGTCAGACATTTCTCAGTTTCACTACCTGTGCAGCTATGTACTGTTCCTCCATCCACAGGCGCCATCTGCAATGGGTCTCCTCGCCATAAACTGCTGCCCTGTTAGTCTCAGGTCAGTTTTACCTCTTCTGATCTCTTCTTCTGCACTAATTCCCTTTAGATAACCTTCCTCTGGGAAGGGAGGACGGCAAAGATTGAAAGAAAGGGGCAAGAGGGAAGCTGAGCAGGAAGGCGGTTGGGAAGGCTGGGAGAAGGCAAGCTGGCTAAAGCTAAATGCAGCCCTGCAGAAGAGCTTCCCAAGACCTCAGGTCTGCTGTGAGGAGTCCATACATTCTTTTTAGCTCCATCTTTATACTACCACCACACTTTCCTGCCCAACTCTCACCTCTGTCATGTTCTAACTTCCTGGGGGCATCTTCCAATTTCAGACATAGACATCAAGGATGTTATAGCCCTAGAAAACAACAGTCGGGTAAGCTCTTTCCGAAGACAAAGCTCCGCAGATCCTGGACTACAGGAGAGTATGTTTGGCAGCCGGAGAGCAGGCCTCCTGAGAGAATGGGCAAACAAAGCTACCGAAAATAACTATGAACGCAAGCTGAAGAGCCTCATGGAGAAAGGCATTGAGCCCAAGATGGAGAATGCCAAGATGCTGAAGCCAGAGGAGGTGCTAAGCTGCCGGTGAGCACCACGGGGGTGTATGGGAAGGCCCAAGACAGCAGTGTGTGAATGCACGCCTGAACAGAGAGAGGGCAGGCCTAGGTCAGTAGGCTGTGATCACATGCCTGGCCATGGAGGGGGCCAGCCCAGCCTTACCTGGCTCTAGCTGGCAAAGAATTGCTACAAGGCTACGAGCCCTGGGTTTCCCAGCCATCTTTACTGCCAGAGACTCCAAGTAATATATTTACCCCTATTAAAATTCCCCTGGTGAACAGCCAGGTTGGGGCGGGGAAGGCTACCATTTTGAGCTCTGCCTCTGGAAATTCACACTTTCTATTTGCTTTACAACAGAAGCTATAGAGATTCATCAGAAGGAAAATAACAGGTTGTCTGTGGCCTTTTTCTCACAAAGAAAACTGCCCTGGGTTCCCTCTCTCTGGTGAGCTTGGGCAAGACCGTCTATCTTGGTTACTCTTCTGTTACTATGCAAACACCACCACCAAGGCAACTTAGATGAGAAGGAGACTCTTGGGGTCTTTAGTTCCAGAGGGATCGTTCCCTAGTGACAGGGAGAACATTACCAAATTCAGAAGTAGCAGGGCCAGTGGCAGGAACAAGAAGCTGAGAGCTCATGTCTTCAAACACAAGCAAACTAGAAGTAGGGTGAGACTTCCTCAGAGTCCCTCCACCCCCCCTCCCAAATAATGCACTTCCTTCACTGAGACCACTCCCACTTAGACCTCCAAACCATGCCATCAACTGAAGGGCCCGGTATTCAAATAGAAGATCCTATGGTGGTCATTTCTCACAGTGTCACTCTCCCCAGTGACCTTCTTCTGTGTTTGGGGTTTAGATTCCCAAGAAAACCATGAGCTTCCAACTTACCCTCTTCTTTTCTCATGGCTGGAATGGATCCCAGGGCCTCACATGAGCCAAGCATTGTCCCACCCTTGAGACACAGCCCTACTTACCTCTTACTTCTTCTCTATCCATACCTCATAGCCAGGTCTCCACTCTGAAAACACCCAAAGCCAGGGTCATCCTTAACTCCCAGGCAAAGTTAAAAAAACCTTCAGCTGAGGAATCAAGGCAAGAGGGTAGTAGGGTCACTCTCACCAAGCTGGCAGTAATATAACCATCTTAGGTGAAAGTTGGCCCCAGCGCCTAGAAACTAACCAGTGCTACCTGCTGCTCCTGGAGACTAAGAGATGAAGCAGGGATGGGGCCGATGAGAAGCAACACCCAACCAACTGCGCTTATAAGAACAAGCAATGGGAGTGGCTCTAATTATGCCTGGCTCCACAGTGGAGGCTTCTTTCCCACCCAGAGCAGAAGCACTGAGACAGATGACATCCATGATGTCACTGAGGAGGCCAGGGTGAAGACCAGGGTGAAGATGGTCCAGTGGAATCTTAAGGAAGCCACATGTGAAAGTGCTGGTCCACTGCATCACTCTGCAGACTGTCCTGGGAGGAGAGAACTAGAGCCATAAACAAAGGCAGAAATAACCCAAGAGCCCACAGGCACGGGCATGGGCACAGACACGGGCAGAAAGCCAGGTGATGGCAACGCAACTCCTCCTTGTCACCCATAACCAGGCAGCAGGTGGCTGGTAGCATCCACCCTCTATGAAGGCTGGGACCAAGAAGTCAGCAGAGTAACAGCCTGTTATCCTAGCACTCAGGAGCTGAGGCAGGAGGATTTTGTGCTTGAGGTCAGTCACCTGAGCTACATAATGAGATCCTGTCTCCATATAACTAGATAAATGAAGTAATTAAATATAAAGTTGGCCCCAAGGTCAAGGTTGACAGTGGACTAAGGAACTCTGTCTGCATCCCACAGCACAGGTGGGATCAATTTCACTCTTCAGCAGAAGGCAGAATTACAAGGTTTTAGAAAACACTTTAAATCAATGGCCTTGGTGTTTAACTGTGTGTGTGTTAAGGAAGGGCACGCCTGCCTGCTCCTGTAGCTCTGTGTATACACACTCGAGGCCTCCAACCTTGGCTCAGATTCACTGCCTGCAACAGTGAGCAACACACCACGGTCCACCCTCTTACACATACCACACGCCATGCTAGCCACATCCTCTTTCTTCCTGGTGCTGTTCTCACAGAGTCTTCCAGACTCTATCTGGCTGTCACTGTTTGCATGGATCACTCCACTTCCCAAATGAGCACCTGTCTTTCCATAGCATAGCTTCTATTGACTTCCATGGACTCTGTGCTGAATGTCACGACTGGATCAATGCAAATTAGCCTGTTTTCTTTGGTGACACTCAGGATGATGCCTGGCAAGTTGGTTTCCAAGAGTTATAGCACCATGAGTTCTATCACCTCTGCCACCTGCAGGGTACCCCTCTTCAAGGACACACACAGAGGAGCCAGGACAAGGTCTCTTGCCTGGCCTTCTGCTTAAAGCCAACCCCTTTGCCTCACCCACTTCTTTATTTTTGCTTCTTTGTTTGCTTGTTTCGGTTTTCTTGCTTGTTTGTTTCTGGTTTTGTTTTTGTTTTTGAGACAGGGTCTCCCTGTATAGTTCTGGCTGTCCTGGAATTTACTATGTAGACCAGGCTAGCCTCAAACTCACAGAGATCTGCCTGTCTCTGCTTTCCAGAATGTTGGGAGTAAAGGTGTGGGCTACTACACCAAGCCCAAAAAGAATCCCTTTTTAGTGAAAGTCAGGTCCCATGGCTCCTTGTCACCTCTTCCTGTCGTCTCTTGAAGGTACCTGCGTTTGTCCAAGAACAACATCAAGACCCTGATCAAGCTGTGCAAGGATGCAGGGATGGATGTGGACATCCACCCTCACATGGTGGAGGCCGAGATAGACGCAAAGAAGATATTCGGACAGCGATTGAGCGTAGCTCTCTAGCCACTCTGCCCACTGGAGACTCATCCCATGGGGACTAAGCACCCTGCTGACTAGTTTCTGTAGACTGCACCAGGCGAATAAGTCGAATGCATCACCACTAGCTGATCTCAGCTCTGTCCTCAGTGCTACTTTGCATCAACCCAGGAGTAACCGGGAAGAGAGCTCCCTTAGAGGAAGCTTGCAGGGCACAGTGGTATTTGCCTGTATTCCAGTGCAGGTGGAGGCAGGGGGATCAAGGATTCAAGTTCAATGCCAGCTTGGGACACTGTATGAGGCCCTGTCTAAAACATCAAAATGGGGAGAGGGAGTACAAAGTTGTTTTTTTTTTTTTTAATTGCTTCTTAGTAGAGAACTCTTCTTGAGCAAGAAAATGGGGCTTCAAGTCCCCAGGGGAACTTCAGAGAGGAGAAAAAGTTGAACGGCTGTACGGTGACACATAACACTGCCCTATGAAGGACATTGGTGTGTGGGGAACTGGCCCTTGTGTGTAGGCCTGAGGCTGGTGGCTGAAGTCCTCTCTTAGAAGAACTGACTTCATGATAACTTCTCTCACTGTCCTGGTCCCCTCTGTGACCTAACTGTGCTTAGCCATAGCTCACTGACAACTCCTTAGTTAACCTCCAGATGTGTCCTTCCTTCTATGAACATTTTTTCCAAGGGGCCAGAGAGGATGTCTCCTCTTCTTTCCCTCATGGGAACTCCAGACAGAGGCTTGCAGGCCTGATCTCTGTCCTCCCTCTCTCTCCTCTCACCTCTTCAGGTATGAGAGGCTGATCCTTGCCACTGCCGATGCTGGGCTATGACAACACAGATTTTATTGATTATTTATCCATTGCCTACCAGGTATATTGCATGGCTTTCTGGATTCTTCTTAGGGGCCATTATGACCCCAGGTCCCATCCTCAGAGCTCGATCTGGCTGTACAGAAGCTCTGTCCCACAAGCTCTGGGACCTGTGTGCAAGACAAAGTTCCCAGGGGGGAAACTAGTGCAGCCCACAGTCTCGGGGAAGTTTACAGGGCAGGTAATCCCAAGACAGTGATCGGGATCCTGCTAGTCCATTATCCCACCCACCCACCCACCAACCCACAGGGCTTAGAGTCCCTATGACAGAGGAGTGAGCAGGTAGAAACCCTGGGCACAAAATGGACTCAAATCCCTGGAAAGGAAAGGCTTCTCGGAGAATGAGGCTGCTTTTACTGAGACACAAGAATGCCGGGAATCTGTAGGAGAGAGGGAAGAGTAGGCAGAGAGACCAGAGCTCGCAAGGGCTCAGAGGCTAGCACTACACAGTACTTGGGAAGCTGTAGTTAAGTCCGGATGGAGGGGACGGAGACAGCAAAGACAGTGAAAAGGAAATACCAGGGGCGAGGGAGTCATAAGCTTTGCAACTCTCCATGTGTACCCACTGTGTGTTGCTGCTACCAGGCTGAGGACAGTGTAAATGGGAACAGACTCCTGCCTCTGTGTAACTTGAACTCTGGAGAAAGGAGAGACTGAAAATGCTCATCAGCAGAAATCCTGAGGGGCCACGATCACAGGGAACTACAGAGGCAGCCCAGCATCTGCAGTGGCAAGGGCTAGCCTCTTACACCTGAAGAGATCAGGCCTGCAAGCCTCTGTCTGGAGATCCCATGAGGGGGAGAAGAGGAGACAACCCCTCTGGCCCCTTGGAGAAAGTGTACACAGAAGGGAGGGCAGATCTAGGGGTTAACTAAGGAGCTGCCTCAATGAGCTACACTGTGTAACAAGTCGCCCCTAAGCAGAGTTTAGAGCATCCACGTTCTACAAGCCTACAGGTCCACTGAGCCGAGGTGCTGTGTGTGGGCTTGGCAGACGTAGACTCTATGCCTGTGTCTGGGCTCAATTAGTGAGTCAGCTAGGGCAGGATGGTCCTGGAAAGTCCGGTTCAGGATGGCTGTTCTCTGGCCTAACAGACAAGCCTGGGCTTGTGTTAGGGGAATGTCTTTATTCTAAGAGGCAGCAAGGCCTAAGAGGCTTGGATCAGAACTAGGACATAAATTACACCATGTTCCAGTTCATGCTGGTCTATAGTACCAAGGTCAGCTCAGATTCAAAAGTTGAGACTATCCTGTATTCATAGAAGGAGAGAATCATAAAGTAACATTCCAAAGGGCCTGTCTGGGTCAGCAGTGTAAGAAACCAGCCATTGTTGCCATTAACAATAGTTGGGAGACTTAAACCAGGGTAACCATGTTGACAGCAAATGAGGTGAAGCTGGGACAATCCTGTCATTCAAAGCATGAACGTAAGGGATAGGTTTCTAGGGGACTCTTGAGTCATCCTGAGCCTGAGAGTGGTGTGTTGGGCCACACATTAGCTGAGGGAGAGCAGACAGAAGACCAGAGCAACTAGGTCTTTAGGGATCAGTTGGATGAGAATCACCCTCGGTCCCTACCATGTGTCTCCCATGGTCAGTAAGGAACCAGACAGGGAGACCGTGGAGAAAGATGCAGCAGGCAGAGGTACCAACCAGCCCTGTTCACAGGGCCTCCTGTTGCAGAGCTCTGGGAGATGGGGGTCCAAAATCAAGATACCGATGTGGCTGTACTCCTCCAAACTCTGAGGGAGCTCTTCCTGGTCCCATTGTCTAAGCCATGGGTGTCCCTGGCAGCAGACCACAAGTCCCACCTCCACTGTCACACGGCTTATTTGTGTTTCTGTCTCGTGGGTCATATCAAATTAGGGCTCATCTGAATAACCCCGTCTCAACCTACCAATCTTACAAAGGACCTAGTTTCAAATAAGGCGGTGTTTCAGGATTTCAGCAAATCTTTTGGTGAGACATAATCCACCCATAGCATAGAGAGATGAAGGGCAGAGTTCCCTTTAGGTCTCCCTGAGCTGTAGCAGAGCTCCCATTGGATCCCATAACCCACTGCCCTCTCTGACTGATCCTCTCAGGCACTGTGTCCCCACCAGGCTGGTGGCTCCATGTGGCAGAACCACTGCATTGTTTCTCACTAGAAACCTTAAACCAGAGTACGGGGGGATTCTCCTCCAGGCCCCCAGATAGAGAATCTGTGTGAACTGACTTCCTCTAGTAACTTGCTGATCTGAGTCACATCCCCAGGGGATTCACTGTGCCTCTGGGCCCTATTGAGGGCAGTCAGGAGCCATCTTCCATAGTTAAGCCTGTTGCTTCCTTGGACCTCGGCTAAGGCTGGAAGGATATGGGCTGCGCTCCATCTGCAACCAAGGAGGCTCTGTGGATGCTCTGTGAGGCCAGAGGTTTTCCAGGAAGGAGCCTACTGTGCATGTTCAGTTTCCTGATAACCTAGCCTAACAGTTCACAGTGAGTCCAAGCCCACAGAACAGACAGCACAGAAAAAAAAAATGCCCCAGCCAGTCCCAAGCCAGGTTCTGACAGCATCACCCACAGTGCACTGGGTCTTCCGAGGTCCTCATAAACTTTGGAATTTCCTGAAAACAGTACTGCCACATCATTCTCCCCAGAAACAGACACACAACAGAAACAGAGTGGCTCTGTCATGGCACACCAGAAGCCGAGCATCTTCCCAGCAGACCAGACAGGACACTTTAATATCCATATGGAAAATGCATATGGCCACATCATAAGCAAAATTTAATTCCCCGTGGATGCAGGTGGCGGGAATGCTTTGAGAACAAACTTGACCTTGGAGAAGGAAAACACATGTGCATGTGCACATACGCACATGCACATACGGACTGTATGAAAACGAAAATTTCTACTCAACAAAGAACAGTAAGAGTCAAAAACCAACTGCCCCAAGGGGGATGGATGGGTGTCTGGCACGCAGCGCAAGCTCACCAAACTGGAAACAGTCAAAAATCTAGCCATAGTGGAGGCATTTCACAAGATAGGATAGTTAAGTGGCTGATAAACCTAAAAATTTCTCAGTCCTCAGGATGTACAAATGATAGGGCACAAACACAATATATACAAAGTAAGTGTCACTGCATGCTAGACAGGATGGCCATGTGTGACAGTGACAATTACCAGTGAGCTTTATGGAGCAACCGGAATTCTTATGCACAGCTCTAGATACTGTGTTTGCCAACTACCAGAAAAATGTAGCACTTGCTAAGACCAACTTCAATGACCTCATCATCCAGCATTTTTGATTGGTGCACGTTGGCACTAGAGACACGCTAGCTGTTCATAGCAGCCCCCTTTTGCTGCAGCCAAGGCTGGACTCAAACCTGGGACCCATCAACAAAAGGAAAGACCTGAGGTCTGTTCACACAACATACTGCCATAGAGAAACCAGAGCCCACGTAGAAACTGACCAGCTCAAAACGTACAAACAGCATCATGCAAAGGCAGCAAAATTCGAGCAAAACTGCTCCTCAATTCTCACTTAACTCGGCCTCCCACCCAGTAACTTAGTGTTAGAAGCCAGAGCAGGGATGCCCTGTGAAATGCAGGATGGGGGAAGACTAGAAGACTCCGTGAGATGTTCCCTTGGGAGTTTTGGCCTTTTTGTGTAGTTGTGCCAAGCTTTAAAGAACATTTGGGCAGGAGAGGGGACTCAGTGGATATAGTGCTTACCCAGCATGCATGAGGGCCTGAGTTCAAATCCCCAGTACCCGTGTGAAAGCTGGATGCAGTCGCACATTTGTAATACCAGGACCACTCCTGACTGGAGACAGAAGAATCCCTGGAAACCCTTGGGCTAGCCTGGTGTACATCGCAGATCCTGTCCAAACAACATGGAAGATAAAAACCCAGAGTTCTCTTCTGACCCTCTCATTCATACTGTGGCATGCCCCACCATGCTGACAAGAACACACACACACACACACACACACTGCACAGTTAAGCCTTATGTGGAGGTATACATCTGTCACCCCAGCATCAGGTGACTAAGGTGAATAAGGCAAGTTTAAGGCCAACCTGGGTTACACATGTCTCAAACACAGAAGCTAAGAAAAGTACAAATAAAACAGTTATAGTCAGACTTTTGGTAACAATGTTCTGGTTTTGTGTTCGTAAAA